TTGTCGTTCTACAATTTCGAAAACATCTTTTTTAAAGTACAAAGCAGGTTTTAAAAGCTTTGTCAATTTTTGTACTCTTTTCAAATTAGATCTTGTTCCAAATGTTTGTAACTTATGTGATTATGTGTCTTTTGCTAGTTGGTCAATTTTTCCAAGGTCGGTTAGGGCGTATTTGGTTGGGATTCATTATATTTTTAAATTAAATTTTCCCTCAGTGATTTGTCATACTCTCCATCAAGACGTCAAAGATACGATGAAAGCTTGTATCAAAAAGTGGTCCAAACCAGTTGTTCGGAAAAATCCGTTATCACTCGATCAAATTCAATCAGTAGTTGCTGTGTCTTCGAATTCTCATGACGATAGGTTGTTCTTAGCCTTATTAGGAATTGGTTTTGGCGGCTTACACCGACTCGGTGAATTAACTATTCCGGATTCAAAATCGTTAGTGGACAACAAGAAAATCATACTACGTTCATCTCTGCAATTTTCGACTTGCAAAAAATTTATTCAATATCATCTCCCATATTCGAAATGCGATTCTTCCTTTGTGGGCGCACCAATTATCATTCAGTCCTCGAAAACACTTCAGCTTGTCCAGTAATGTTATTAAAATCATATCTTTGTTCTAGAGATAAACTATTTATGGCAGCTTTGGAGCTTTCCACTCTTTACTCGCTGGGATCTTTGGAGGGAAGTGAATTTGAGTTCTCAATTCTATTCTTTTGTCTTTATTCATTTCACTATAAGTGTGTATCATTTTTTGTTATCATGTAATGTATACAACCCTTGGTTTGTCCTAGTCAAACCTAGGTATCCATTCATGAATACTTTGGTTTCTTGGGGGGGGCCCCCTGCCTGAGAAGGCAAGGGGAGGTAGGACCACCTAGAGCTGTAGATGAGAGAGCGCTGGACGGCTGGGCTAGGCACTCTCTCTACACTCAAGACTCGCACACTTATCTTTACCGCACCTACATTTATTAGTACTTCTGCCAAACATTTTTCCTGTGCACAGATACTTACTCTAGTTAGATCCAAGGGGGACCTTTAGTGGACTGTACTGGGATTGCCTTTGGGTGGTGGGTGGGTTCGAAAAGGAAAGGCTAAGCGTGAGAGCTTAACCGTGAGAGGAAGAGTGAAGATGGAATTTCCAGACGTGAGCGGGGGATAGGCGGCTATGGGAAAAGTCAACGCGTGAATGCAAGGAAGGGAGGAGGAATTTTTTTCCTTTGCATCTTCCAAATTCAAGCGTACGCCTGGAGAAAGTCACCCTCAGTATAGGGCTATTTATCTACACCCATAGTCCGACCCCGCATCGCCTCGTGGAAATAGACGGTACCGTCATGCCTTTGGGTACCGTCAGCCATCCACTCTTTACTCGCTGGGATCTTTGGAGGGAAGTGAATTTGAGTTCTCAATTCTATTCTTTTGTCTTTATTCATTTCACTATAAGTGTGTATCATTTTTTGTTATCATGTAATGTATACAACCCTTGGTTTGTCCTAGTCAAACCTAGGTATCCATTCATGAATACTTTGGTTTCTTGGGGGGGCCCCCTGCCTGAGAAGGCAAGGGGAGGTAGGACCACCTAGAGCTGTAGATGAGAGAGCGCTTCCCCATGACTCAGGGCGGCGTCCTGAGCCTGCGAACTCCCATCTACGGCGGTCTGGGACATGCACCACCCCCCGGAGTTTCACAAGCAACCTCTGTGACTCACGACCAGTTCTACATCGGGTGTACCAACACCTATACCGTGCAAGTAATGATCTGGCTGATCGGCCGGACAATGAGTTCATTCTATCGTTAAAATCGCACCTCACGCAAGATTTGTATTGTATTGGATAGTTCAGCACTACTGTATTCCCTAATATAAAGTTTGTATGCTTTTGATTTCCACCTCCCGAGTTTTACTATGTCTTCCAGTGGGCATTTCAAGTTCCATCTAAGCGATGCGCCCCCTACCCTAAACGAATGACCAGTTAATTTCGCATTCATCCTCTTCGACCAAACTCCCTCAAATATCTTTTGACAGCGTGTCTTCGTCAGGGTTATTCTCCTACCCCCACATGGGTACGAGAAGACTGGGTCATCGTCTGTTGCGCCGGTTTGTTCCAACAACCTCTTCACCGCGTTTACTGGATCTAGGAGTGAATGCTGATTTTGACAATGAATTACTTGTATTTCGCCTACAGCTGCAGTCTTCGCACTCCGAATCTTGATCTTTAAAAATTCCAACTTCTCATCCCAAATTATGTCTTTCACTCGAACTTGGTCCGTGTTAGCCGATGCCTTCAACAATTCTCCTAACCGGGCCATACCCCAGAATGCAACTAAAGCCACTGTGTACGCAACTTGGTTTTCAAGTTTCCCGTCTGACAAAGATTCTAGAAGACCGAACAGGTGATTGACTAAGACGGGATTTTTCTTCTCCTTCGGTTCTTCCCTTAGTTCTAGTTTCGCGGCGGCCTTCAGAATTGCTTCTACTCTAGGTGTATCCTGGTGTGGATAATCGACGTTATGAAAAAGGTGCCAGGCTTTAATACCTGACAAGTAAGTTCAAATCGTAGATGACTTGATTGGTGAAAAAGTAGATGATGATTGTTCTGGTGACAACTTAGGGCCGGCCCAAACCACGAACTCGCTTAAAACCGTAGGGTTGATCGGCAGTAATGATGATCGACTAATGCCTTTCTCTTCTGCAAACGCCATTAACTTCGTCACTCCTGCATTATAGTGTTTTATTGTCGGAGTCGACCAGCTACCACTTAGCATGTAAGTTTTCACTATGTCCGAAGCTGTCGAATCAACGCCATCGAGGCCTTTCCTGAACTCCATAGTGACTGACGTTGTGGTTTTGGTGGGTCTAATCCTGATGATGTCAAACTGGGTCAAAGGACTCAAGTCTCATATCTAGTCTTTTTTTAGGGTACGATCAGTCTTTTTAGGGTACGATCAGTACTTTCGAAACGCCACCCCGATCACCATTCAAATCGGAATTAGCGCCACTACTCAACGTCTTCTCGACGCTGAAATCTTTTGGCTCGAAGGACAATAAAAAAAAAAAAAAAAAAAAAAAAAAAAAAAAAAAAAGGGGGAGATGTATTTCATAAGCGTTGTTTCACAACCAAACTCAAATCATTTGGGACTTCGATCACAACCCGATCATCTACAGTCCTCTTGTCTTTCCCGCGAGAAAGTAAGTCCGCCATATTCTCTCCAGTTTCCACACGTTCAGCTACTATATCACAGTGAAGTTCAACTAGCAGTTTCTGTACTGCTTTCCATTCCTTGTTTACTGCTCGGTCACCGGACTTCCTTTTCTCAACAGCTGATTGGGACGTAGTATTATCTGTAAGTACGATGAATGTCTTCCCTCTTACGTCTTCAATCTTACTTAGTACTAACAGACCTAGACGAATAGCCACAGTTTCTGCCCATGCTATATTACGTTTACCTCTTGAGGTCGTTATTAGATTCCAACCCTTCACGAGTTTAAATTCAGCCCATTTCGAACCGATCAAAACTCCTATACCTGTCATCGAGGCGTCACCTACCCAGTTAATGTCTACCGGTACGGCATCTGGGATTATCCTCCTCGGTTTGAACTCCTTCAGCGTTGTTTGCCATTCTAGAAGGTCTTCTCGTACGTCCCCAGGGACCTTTCTTTTCGCCGATGCGACCTTCCATTCCGCTTCCCACCTATGGAGACTCGCCATGTAACACTTGAGGTTAGGAACAATGTACGTCGTATGAACTAATCGTCCTATAAACTTCTCTACTTGTTTAAGGTTAAAGGATGCGTTTGGCTCCAAGAAATCGTCTACTTGCTTACTACGTTCGTTAAATTTCTCTTCAGGTAGTCGTACGGTCCTATCTGCTATGTTCCAAATAAAGCCAATATACCTTTGCTCGTTCGCGAACTCGTGGACTTTTTCCACATTGGAGGCTACACCCATCTCGTTGCTGAGGTCGACAACGTCTTGAATGGTGGTCTTGTTGGACTCATCTTTGATAAGTAAGTTATCATCAACCCATCTGAATGCAGCCACTAATTTAAAGTGTCTCGTGACAATTTTTCTCCACAGATCTGCTGGTCTACCAAAGACACCACACCCTGCTACACCCCCGAATTGGATACGGGTATCTAACCACAGTCTATTTTGAAGATCCATCAAGAGAAGGAAACGCCATTGAGACGGGTGGATTGGGATTTGACGGTAAGCTTTCTCCCAATCGAAGATTGCGACCTTGTATTTCCCAGAGTGAGTCCTGAAGAATATCGCGATGACTTTGAAGTCATCCCAACTGGTCTCGAATTCTTTCTTATCCACAAAACTATTAACTGACGGTGTTTCAATCTCGTCGTGTGGGAATGATAGGTCGTTTATTATGCGAAATGAACCGTCCCCATTAATCACACTGCCCATTGGGCTTGACCTGAAGAAACCGAGTTTTTCAAATACTTCCATGTGAGTGAACGGGCCAAAAATCCGCTTTGCTCTCCGTTCCTTTGCTAAAGTGTTGTTGATTTTTTCTTCTGCTAAAATGGCTGATTCATGATTTCGTGGTGTGTACCATTTCCGTTTGCCTAAGGTATGGTCTGGAATCCCTTGGTGGAAACCATGTTTACAACCATCCAACACCTCCTCAGCATCTTCGCCTATTTCATGCCAATCAACCAAATCTCTCCATACGGCTAAATTGAGGTCACAAACCGCTTCTTCTCTGGGCCACCGTGGGTCAAAGTTCCTCCCTGAGTTGAAGTAAGGCAACAGCTTAACCACGTCTGATCTCTCATCATGCTCATTGATCTCTAGACGCGGGATGGCACCGCAAACTCGGTTGCCCCTGATCATCGTGCTAATCATTTGGTAAAGGAGGTTTTAGGGATCGTCAGAAATTCTGGCCAAGAAACAGACTACTGTTGTCATTACGCAATGGGTCCTCAAGGAAGGTAAGACAAGAGCGTGACACGATGACGTGAACAGGGTATGTGAACACAATCAGGAGGAGTCAACACCAAGTAGGCGACTCCGGCCATACAAATCAAGAAAGTTTGGGATAATTTTCCGGCGGATGACACACGCCAGTGCAGCATTTGCACACCTTATCGATCACGATAGAAAAAAAAAATTTAAGACAAGAATTCAGATTCTCCAAGGCTTACTTGGCCTTTCCATGTCCTCCGAATCTAGGACCATTAGGTTCGCGATCATCACCTCTACGGTCATCACGCCGTTCCTCACGTCTCCACGATCCACTACCTTCTGCTCTTCGGTTATCATAACCATCGGAACCTCCTCGACGACCTCTGGAACTCTCATCGCGACCTCCACCAGTCACGTAACCACCACCTCTACCACGACCTCTAGTCACCCTGCCTCCAAGGTTTCTATCTTCATACGTGTTGAAGTAGTTGACACCGCCTGGTCCCTCGTAGTGGGATTGATTAGCGTAAGTCCAAGAACGGGCATTTGGTTTACTAGTGTGGTTGTACCCAAATTGATCATTGGCATTTGTTTGGAACGGGTTTTGACCATTTCTCATGGGTTCACCAGTGATGGGGTTGATGTGAGATTTGACTTGACCATCTGCATACGGGTTACAGTCGGCGAATCGAGGGTCAATGTCGCCAAGGCGCTCTGAGTCAAGACGGGCGTTACGCTCGAATTCTTCGTTTCTAATCGCAGGGTTTGCAACCTTCCCATCGGCGTTTCGGAAGGTCAGCACGGTTGTTCTGATAGCTAGGTCATATCGGAAGGCTGTCGGACAGCTGAGCCTGTCTCTCATTATCGCGAAGACATTTTCTTTGTGAGTTTTAAACCGATTTGCCAGTTTATCGTGTTTATAGTGAAACAGGTAGGCGACGAAGAGATCAAAGGCCGTGACCCATTCACCGAAAGACGTCTTCCATTCCGAAGGGATAGCTAAGCCATGATATTTCTCTCCATCTTTGTCTTTGGAAGTCTTAGGTCTTTGTGAGTTTTTAAGTAAGTCCATTTTCAACCAGTTGATATTCATGATTGATAAAGGTAAGTAGCCGTCAAGGGGTTTGATTTTGTCTTCCCAATGTTTTGCTAGTGCGACTAGACCGGTGTTTTTGATACCCTCGTCGCTGACTTCAGGTACAGTCGTGGCTTTAGCTGAGGTAGAATCGGTAGAAGGGACAGTCTTCCCCTTGTTGGCCTCGCCCGTACCGTCAAGGCATATCACCTCGCGTATGACAGGGTCCACAGTTTTCTCCACGGATCGGGTAGGTCTCATTGAGGTAGAAGCTGGTGCTGCAAGGGTCGACACTGGGGGCTGCGGTGGCACGCGGCCCAGGGAAGCGGTGGTACCTTGGATAGCGGTTGTGGCAGAGTTTGGGTTACTGACGACAATCATGCCGTTGGCCAAAAGCCAGGAATGTAATCCTTTTGGCGGGCTGGTCCCTGCTCCGGAAACGGTGTTTCTACGACTCGGAGACAAAGGAGCTGGAATGAACGAAGAAAACCACGAGAAGCTTAGTAACTTGTCTGACAGTTCATCATAGTATTTGGCATCACAATTGTGGCATCACGAAATCGCTCGTGGACAGAAAATTTTTTCTTAAACATCGCAACTGCGGCATCACCATAGGTGGGTAAAATTCAACATATATTTTTGAGGCTTACCATTTGGATCGTTGCTAACATTGTCTTTAGAAATCAGTCCTGCTAGATTGCCTTCTCCTTCTCCGGGAGGGTGAATAATTGACGTATCATCGCCAGTTTGGGCTATGGTGCCACTAGCAGCAGGTGCGTTATTACCAGGGGAAGCACCTCCTAGGTTGGATGGTGAAGTAGAATCAGATGTGGTATTAGAATTAACCTGGCCATCTCTTCTAGGTACGGTGAGAGTGACAGTCGGTGTGGCGTCTCTTGACGATGTTTGAGTTCCAGGTCTAGCTGACCCCCCGGGGTTCCGACGTCCGCGGCCTCTACCTCTGCCTCGTTGATTGCTTGTCACATTTGTTGGTGATAGAGTTGGGTCCAAAGGGGGGTTGACGGTTTGTTCGGAATCTAGAGGGGGCACAGAGCTTCCCCTCAACCTAGCACTCGTTCTTCTCATTATTGCGTTGAATTTATCTATATTGGTAGCATCCTGATTGTCTGTAGACATGTCGGGTTCAATTAAGTGTTTTTGCTTTTTTTTTTTTTTCCTTTATTTTTAAGAAGAGTTTTTGAAAAGGAAAGGCTAAGCGTGAGAGCTTAACCGTGAGAGGAAGAGTGAAGATGGAATTTCCTGACGTGAGCGGGGGATAGGCGGCTATGGGAAAAGTCGACGCGTGAATGCAAGGAAGGGAGGAGGAATTTTTTTCCTTTGCATCTTCCAAATTCAAGCATACGCCTGGAGAAAGTCACCCTCAGTATAGGGCTATTTCTCTACACCCATAGTCCGACCCCGCATCGCCTCGTGGAAATAGACGGTACCGTCGTGCCTTTGGGTACCGTCAGCCATTTATTAGTCAAGCAGGTCTTCCTCCTTCGCGCTCGTGGTTTTTAGCAAGATTCCACAAATATTTTGATAAATCATTCTCTGGTCATTCATTGCGTTCTGGAGGTGCGACGGCTTTAGCGCAAGCTGGCGCTATGATGGATTACATCAAGAGCGCTGGCAGATGGTCTTCGGAGGCGTTTTTAATTTATGTCCAAGGACATGTTGCATTACGTCTTCCCGAAAATCAGAACCACATTATTGGACATTTGTCTCACGTGGGTTCTAAGGTGTCATTCATTTAAAAGTGAGTTTCTTGATTAAGGATATTATTCTTTTTCATGTGATTGGTCCTTCTTGGTAATTATTGCCAAGAAGAAAATTAGATTTTTGAATCCAAGTTTTGGTATTATGCCAATGGGTTTGGTTATTATAACCTGGTTTTGAGCTTATTATAAGCATTCTTTTAGGTTTTGGGTTATTATTCACTTCTCTGACATTTGATTCTTTTCCTCTCCTACTTCACCACTCTTCTGCATACCGTATTATAGGCGGGTCGGAGAGGGTGTTGTTGTCATGAGGGAATTTATCATTCCAGGGCATTTAGCCTTGGAACTTTTGCCCAAAACCTTTTTAAAATATTATTCTTATATTTTGATATTAAGTCTTAAGTAAGTTTCCTTATTCCACGTTTCTCAAAAATCAATTGGTATGATGTTCTTGTAACCAACTGATCATCACAAACCAATCAATCCAAAGTTGTTTTGACCAATCAATATGCATCAAAGGATCACAAGACCTTATTCCTTTTTTTCCAAAAACATTATATAAAATTATTTGTTTCCCATTTTTGTTAAACTATTATGCAAGTTATACAAACAAAAATCTTTGTTTCCTCTGATTGATAATCTTAAAATACAATTGATTTCAAAGTGATTATGAATTCTCACAACAAATCAAACACAATGTATTTTCAAAGAAAATGATTTTTGGGTTTTGGTTCTGTTGAAATTACATGTTAATTTACTTTACTCAATTGTTCCAAAGTGAGAAATCAGAGTGTGATTGCCAAAAGAAAAAGACTAAGAACAACAACCAAAATGATCTATGTACTCAATCACTCAGGGACAATCTGCCTTGGAAATCACATGACACTACATCAGTTTTCAAACTCTCAACAGACAGTTTGTCCTAGCAGAAGTGGAAATCAAAATCTATGCGAGTTCACTTTACTGGTCCCCATTTTTGAAAACTGGTTCAATGTTAGCAGCATGTTCACCTTCCTGGGCCGGATCACTCAGACTCAGACCAAGTTGGGATTTAAGATGAGTGGTCATACTTGAAGTCTTGTCCATGTTGAGGAGTTTGCTGCATTTCCCTCTTCCTGGCACAATAACTTGGCATTCTACTTGCTTACCATCCTTTGTCTTCAAGAAATGATCCCATACAAAACTAGTATGAGCACACACAATCACGTCTTTCTTTATCACAGCAAAGATGTTAGACTATATAACTCTAATTCTAACGCTATCAGGGTAAGTAAATCTCGAGCCAATTTGTTGGAAATAGAAAATTAGGAACAGATTATGTACTAATTAAAAGAACTCAAGAAAGTGATATGTTGAATACTTTCAATCACTCACGTCATCTACAATCACCTTGAACTCATTACATCACTCCATGAAGCTTATCAAACTATATAACCCATCATGATGATATTCTTCTTTTTTGAGATGATTGAGTTATCTTTAATTCTCGCGTACATTCCGGGTTGTATTGCACGAAAAAATAGTGTACTTCTGAAATGAGATTCATCAATATGAGAGTTGAATTTATCTAATTTAAAAAGTTTGTAAAAATACAGTTAAATCGAAGAATGAAATCATAAAAAGAAGAAAACTTTCAAATGATTTAGGAATACCTTTCTAACACACACGAAATCCAAACCAAATCAATTAAAGAACCGAAAAGAAAACCCATATAAAAGAAACCCTAAAAAAGCAAATAAGGAAGATCACTTACTTAAGATCGAATTTGAAGTTTTCACCAATCAACCTCGAACCAATAAACCCAAACCAACCTTGTTTCATTTCACCAAAGCTCTCACACCTGCACCTTCATCCCGTAAACTATGTCCTTGTAATTTACGTACTTCACGTAGATATGCGTTATCTTCATCTTCTGGTTTAGGTTTTTTACTGGACGATTTCTCATCTGAATCTGCTGATCGTTTTCCACGATTTTTCTACATAAATCGGGCGGGTAAGGTACATAGAAAGACAAATGAAGATCAGTTGAGTGGAAAAGAATGAAGAGATGAAAGGGTACTTACGATTCGTTGTTCAAAGGCTTGTTTCCTAAAGAAAATTTAACTCGAAAGTCAACCCCCCAAAGATCACAAGAAAAGGAAAGAGATTGAGAAAAGAAATCAAAGAATTGGTTGTAAGATTGTAAAATATTGAGTTTTAGTATGCTTCGAGAAAAAAGATCATCAAGAGAGCTGAAAACTGAAATTAACGAGTTCTAAACAGAAGAGGAAGAAAAAGGAGAGAAGAAAGGAAAATAAATTTATAGGAATTTAAAAGGGTTCACTTACCGTTGAAGTGCATCCTCTTGTTTTTTCTTTTCTACTTCTTCCTCCTAAAGCGCCCAACAAAAATCAAAACTCAGTCATAATACATGATAAAGGGTAGGTATGAGATTCGATTGACGAACCTTCATCTTTTTGAAACGTTCCAAGAATGAGCCATCGTTTGTACTATAGCGGCAAAATTTCCGATGGACTCGAATCAGGTATGGTTCAGATTCGACTAAAATGAGGATCGAGCTTACAAGACACTGTAAAGAAATGAATGATATTATAGTATAGTCAGTATGATGACAGATGAAGAATATTTTGAATAGGATGAGAAAGACTAACTTCATTGCTTTTGCTTTAGCAGCTTGAACAGCGGTGATTTCTTTTTTCTTAGTAGCTGGATTGATAGCGATTGATGGAGATTGTGATTGGGATTGGGATTGGGTTGAAGTTGAAGTAGACTGAGGAATGGAATTAGGTGAATTCATCTTGATGTGGCTTGATCGTTTGTTGATTATTGAATGAATTGAGTGAGGTTATATCGAAGATTGAGTTTGTTGAGGATTGAAGTGATTTGTTGAGAATTGTTCGCAAGACACCGAGAGTGAATCTAATTCGGCTTACATACAAACTACAACGACGTGTAATCTTGTTCGTTTATAAGCATTTCCTTTTTTCATTATAAACATAACCTACCTACCACTTCTTTTCATGACTCAGTCAGAATATCACCACCCACACCAACACCAACACCAACACCAACCAACCAACCAACCAACCCAGCATGTTAAACAGATTGATCAATCCATTAAAAACTTATCATCATCAAACAAAACTAAAATCAATCACAACAAGAACCTTTATCCAGCATCATCCTACAAATCAACAACATTCATTAAATTCAAATCAAATCATTCAAGAAAAGAAAATCTCATTCGAATCAAAATATCAATCAAAACTACAATCAAAATTAAAACAGTAATATCATTTCTCAAAACCATTCAAAGCTTTAACACATCAAGTTTTTTGATCTTTTTTGGCTTTTTTTTTTTTTTTTTTGGATCAGAACAGGTTTAAAAGATTTAGATGAATTGAAAAAAGTATCAAATCAAAAATTAAAACTTGAAGAATCAAATCAAATTAAACTTCAAGATGAATTATTAAAGAAATTTAAAAAATCTAATCTTACTTTAAATCAAAATCAACATGATCTTAAAGTTAATCAAACCAAATTAAAATTTAAAGAAAAGAAGTATAGATCACCCATAAAAGTAAGTAAAATTAGATCGATTTCAATTCGAATATCTATACCAAAACAAACCTCAAGAAAAACTGACCAAAAACATTTCGGTATTTGGTTTTCTTTTAGCCGTTAGATGATATCTTAGATCTTTCAAAAGTCATAAACCAATCATCAGATACAATCAAACAATTATGGACAGCTTATCATTTAAAACCATCAAGTCCTCCTAGATTAGGAGCCGTGATCCCATTAGAAATTTATCAAACCATGTTAAAAGTGGCTCAAAAGTATTCTAGTTTTGTGATTCCGATTCCTACTTCTTCTACAGATGAAATCAAACCCGATCAAACTCCTCTTCAAATGCATTTTCTTGTACGTTTTCTTTTTTACAATCTTTTAAAAGAAACATTTTTTTTTCCTTTTGACTTTCGTTTTCAAGTTGATCTGGTTTTGGAATGGTTTTCTTTTCTTTAGCAATGGTCATTTCTTCAACCTGAAGCTCATCTACACCTCACCGAAGATTTCCAAACCATCAAAACTCCCGTATCAAAGATCTCACCCACAACAGTTTTGTTCACTCCTTTAATCGAATATCAATTAAAACAAGAATTTGCACAACCTGGATTGATTTTAACCCATTATACTGAACTTGCTGAATCTCATGGAATTGTATTAATGAGAGGTGATTTAACTCCTTCTTTAAATGATCCAACTAGTTCTGGAAGAATCGGAACTACTGAAGCTCAATTACTTATACTAAGGTAAACTTTTTTTCTTTCTTCTGACAAATCTTGGGTTCACTTTTTCTGAGTTTTTTCGTTTTTCGGTTTCGGTTTGGGATGGGTTACAGGTTACAACAGTTTTATTATTGGTCTAGGATGAATGAAAGTTTGATGAATGATTCACAAAACCGGTTACAAAAAGTTAGACAAGATCTTTTGAGATGTTTTCATGAAAAACCTAATGAATTTGATATAGAAGAACTTATCAAATCTATCAAAGATATCTAAACTTCAAAAAACAAGATCGAACAAAACCAGTTTTGAGAATATATAGCATCATCATTTGAGAGTGGTCAATTTTTTTGGCCTTATGTTCATCATTTCTTGTTTTCCATTGTGTATATATCGAGTATTCCCCAATGTTTGAAGTATGTCGATACGGTGCCATTATATCTCTATAAGGCATAAGTATCCAACCAGGGTCTTGAAGAAGCTGAAGTGCTTCCTTTCATCAAATATAATTGTATCATACAGACTATTCGAAGGTAGAAAATTGATTGGAGGGTCTTGAAGTGAAGTTGATTTGATTTGAGAAAGGCGATAAGGTTTTCACCGCATACATACCGGATCCTTGAAAATGAACGTTCCAACAAGCAAGGAGAGGAGTTCCCGGCTGAAAGTTTATTGCTTCTTTCTGGCAGTGGGGGGTCTATAGAGTGGACCTCACATTTAAGATTATCCTGGTTTCACAAGATTAGTCAGATTGTTTGGGATTGTTTGCTTCAAAGCTCAAAGTGTAAAAATACTTCCGAAAAAACTTCACATCTCACACATTCCCCATCAATTTGTGTATACACCGATCATAATGTTAAATGGGTGATGCATGAAATTGGACATACGTTAATTGATTAAAAGGTCCTTTGCCTGAATATACTGGAGAATTGTTCCTATTCATTTTACAATAAAATCGTTTGTTTTTTTGGTGTGTTCAACTTCTGAATAGAACATTCGTCTCTTGATTAATTTCATCGTCTTATCTCAAAACAAAACATTCAGTATAGATCATCTTACGACGACCAAGCTATCCTCGACTTCAATGTGGCCTTTCTCAAGATCCCGCTCAACCAATGGAAACGTCAACTTTCAATCGGAAAATGAAAGGACACCATTGGTACCGGCTTCAAGAAATGTATGATATCGAGATTTGACTTTTAACTTCAAGAATCATATCAAATTGACTTGTTGATATTCTGATCAGATCATTTTGGAACATCAGTCTCAAAAGCGAACGCCTTTACCTGTGAAACAACTTATGGTCCTTTGTGTGATGCGGATCACAGGTACTTTATCCTCATATTCAGCTACATATCAGAGTATATGAGTCTAAATATTGGACTCATAATGTCCACTTTGCATCCACAGAACCGATTTCTTACACCCTAATATTTCCGTTCATCAAGTAATTTCCCATTTTGTATTTTATTTCTACCAATGATTAAATAAGACGTTATGAAACTGATCCAGAAGCGTTTATCAGTCAGATGTTGGATGACATGAAAGTCTCACCTGACCCTAAACAGATAGGCTATTACGCTGGAGTCATTGAAAGTGAGTGTACCCTTTTTTAACTTTTCAGTTTATCAGATACTGAGTGAAGACATTTTGGGTTCCCAAAGGTCTTTATGCTGTTGCACAACTTTGCACAGGTAATTTTCTTCAACTCAAATTTCCATTAAAGCTTTAATTGAATGTAGAATTGACTAAGGGGAAAATCAACAAAACAAACACTTCTCTTTGAAAGCTATATCTTGGGGTAGACTTTCTGATCATGTGGGTAGGAAACCAGTGATGTTGATCGGTCTAACGGGTATGGCTATCAGTGTGATCCTTTTCGGTTTACAAAAAACGTATCTCGGTTTAATCGCTTCTCGATTTATTGCTGGTATGATGAATGGTGCGTATCTTCTGCATAATCAAATGAGGACTGAGATGTGATTGACTCAAGGTTTTCTGTTACTTTTATGAAACAAAAGGAAACGTCGGGGTTCTACAGGTTGGCCTTCATGATTTCTGACGTACAATATTTTTCCATCTTCTGACAAAGTTCGAGCTATTAATTTATCAGAGTATCCTTGTGGAACTGACTGATGAAACTAACCATGGAAGGTGAGTGACCTTACGGGTTCGATCACATTTTTGCTGTAAACTCGCTTACTTATGGCATTGACCTCTACGCGCATACCTTCTAGTGCGGTTTCGCTACTTCCAGTCTGCTATGTTGGTTCTTATTTACTATCCTAGATATCCACGATCAAGAAATCTGATAATCCAACTTTATTTCATAATCACAGGCAGTTGGATCCATCATCGGTCCAATCTTTGGTGGTTTCTTAGCAAAGCCAGCTCAACAATTCCCATCTATCTTTGGAAATTCTACATTTTTAATCGAATATCCTTACTTTTTACCATGTTTCATGGGTGGTTTACTCAACTTTTTGGCTATTGCTCTTGGATTATTTTTCTTAGAAGAGGTAATTACTTTTATCATCAATCATTAAACAAATGCTTTGGGATTCTTTCTTGACTTTGTTTTTTGTTCAATAAAATTTGGTCTCATAGACTTTACCTTCTAAACGGAAAACAAAATCATACGAAACAAGATCTGATGTTTCTCAAACTGATCAACAAATATCAGTACCTAATCCAGATCAAGTTAGAGCTAGGCCACCAAGTATTCTTTCATTGTGTACTGGTCCGATCTTGACTCTCTTACTGTCATTCATGTTGGTACATCTTCAAAACCTTGCTTGGAGCGCTGTTACTCCTTTATACGCATACACAAGTAGGTCAACTCATCTTGAGCTGCTTAATGGCTCATGCTCACCAATCAAGACTCAACTGAACTTTTTTGGTTTCTTAGAGGTGATCCACGGTGGCTTAGGACTATCACTCGAACAGATAGGTTAGAAACCTCAAATTCGTTCCCATAGAGATTTCTTCAATTGGTCAGAAGAACTAACCATCTTTTCTCTTATCTTTGGTTCAAACCTTTAGGACTCATGCTAAGTGTGAATGGTATCGGATTAATTTTTGTTCAATTGTTTTTTTTCCCACTATTGGAAAGGAGATTCGGAGCCGTTAAGGTTTACAGATGGTCAATCTTAGCTTTCACAATCAGTTTTCTTTGTTTACCATTTGTCAGTTATCTTGTAAGATGTCAGTATATAATCTTTCCTTTCAAACTTTTAGACAATATATCGTCGTTGATAGAAAGTGTAATATTTTTTTATTTCCATAGTGGAAGATAATACTACGTCAAGGTCGATTGGTTATATGACTACCGTGATGGTGTTAAGATGTCCAGGTCTTTTGAGTTATGGTAAGAATCATATCCCATACTGTCTCGTTATTTTGCCTTTTGTCCTTTCTGATGATTGAAATACTTTATATCCTTCAGTTTGTTCAATGATGCTCATCAAGATCTTCTCACCTAACTCTCAAGCCTTGGGTACATTAAATGGAATGATGCAGGTCAATATTCACAAATCACAAATCACAAAAATCAATCGTCTATAAAAGCTGAGAATGTTCTTTGTTTGGATTTCTTATAGGCTTGTAGAGCTTTAGCTCAAGCTGTTGGTCCAATTCTAGGATCATCATTATTTGCAATAAGTATTTCAACGGGAATACTTGGTGGTAATTTAGTTTGGATTATCTTAGCATTAGTTAAGTGATTAGTAAAGATTGATAACATTTAGGCAGTTAGATTAACTGATTTATAACTTTGATTGATGGGAATGATTTTAGGTTTGTGTGATTGCTCAACTTGGTTCATTTTTACTACCAGATCAAGCTTCTGTAGAAAATGTAGTGAGGTGATTGTGTGTTTTTGGGATCACGTGCCATTTTCCCCATTAGGTTTAGAAAATTTTTTCAACTATAGATATGATTTTCTTGAGCTGATATTTGGAAAGTTCATCAGTATGATAGAAATGTATTTGCAATTGTATTATCACATTTAGATTGTAGAGACATATGCATCTGTTTTCATTGGTGATATATAGAACAATCAGTGGAAGACATTTGAGATGTAAAGTTTCACATGTGCATAAACTTCCCATATGCTTGGGTAAGATGATATTGACAACATATCAGGTCAACCCTGCTATTATATGAGAATCAGCCCAGCTAAAGATTGAATACAATTCCTCCATGGTTCTATTGCATTATGATTCAACTCCCAAAATGTATTTATAATATGAATGTAAAGCCTTATCTATCTTGCTATAATATGAATGTAAAGCCTTGACTATCTTGCTCCAGGACTCTGAGATAGAATATCCTTCACTTGTAGACCCAACCTCTATGAAGTGGCATCACATCTTTCACTCCCAAGAGCATTAGATACTTGTGATAAACCAGGATAGTTGGTAATGCTTGGAACAAAACTCCAGCTGTTTCAACAAAGATTATTTTTTTAAAAATCTTGTTGGGGCGCAAAACTCAGGTTTTGCCTCTCACCAATCTTTCTTGAAAAGGCTGTAATATACTCTGGTCCTTGGTGTCCCAATAGATATTTCAGTTGTACACTTGCTTGTCGAACTACCAGATGCGCTAATCTTTGTATATCAGTTTCAAATCTTACAGAAGCTCTGCAAAGTGTCTAGTTGAGCGGATTGAGAGACAATCCAGTGAATTGCTTCAAGGATTGTAAGAGGTCTATGTAGCTCGAGTCATTCACATGCGATGAGGCAGCTCCTTTCATCTACCTCCAAATTAAAGTAGTACTCAAATGTTATCAAGTTCAAGCTCTCTATGCCATCAAATGATTATTGTTCATAGGCAATTCTAGTTCAAAGGGACCTAATCATGCAAATTGAAATCTTACATAACCCAAGAACTGCCACCAAAAGTCTAAAGAAATGCTTCGTAATTTCATTACTCAAGACTAGCAGATATCATACCTGCTGTACAGATGTGTATTCAGACTCCTAAAATGGTGACACCGTTGATTATGTAAGCAAATCATATCTTTGTCAATTGCACAATGGAGGTGGAAAAGATGGATCCAGGTATGAAAGAACATAGACTTGAAAAGAAACGTACCACACTAGGTTCTAGAAATGAGGCATGTCCTAGTACAGTCACACCCGATGATCCAACCAACCCTGAGAGCGGAGAGGAAGGATCAGGACACTCATTGGACCCAAGATAGACAATCAAATAGGGGTAAACCTACACATAGCCGTCGCAATTGGTGCAGCAATCCAAAGCATGGGGATCCCGATGACAAAAAGTGTGATGTAAAGCGATTTTTGAGTGATGGTTTGACCATCAGCAATCACATTGGGATCAGGACCTGTTGCATTTGAAGTACAAAATGATCCGTTGCACCAGGGATGCGCAAGACCCATCAGGATACCGAGTAAGTATACTAAAGTTTGAGTCGAACGTTTTTTGAATCCTCGACATACCGAACCGCTGAATAGCAGCAAAACCACCGACGAGAAAACCGATCGCGATGAGTAAGAGTGGATTTGTTAGAAGACTGTAAACTGCCAAAGCTGCTACGATCATTGCATAATTGCCACTAAAATGACGAGTGTTGTAAGTAATCCTCTAAAACAAACAGGAATCAAGAGAGTCAGATTCGAATTCGCATATTCTTGTGAAATAGTGATCGAGGATACTAAACTGAGGTAGCTTCATTGAAATCTTTTGGCCTTGAAATTCGTTGATAGTCAAAGAATTCACCAAACGGGCGAATTGAAGAGAGACGTTGTTCCTATAAATCGTAAGACGGAATTCAAAGTGTATTCAAATTGATCAGAATGACGTATGGCCCAGTACTTCATGAGTCAAAGTCATCTTGAATGCTAGTTTTCGAACACGCGGCGTACCCTGAAGGAAGCCATGTATTGAGGGACAGACTGCATGACAGTCAGCATCATGGCCATGTTGGATTATTGAGTTTTGATAGAGATTGATGTTGTTCGATGTGGATGTTTTGAATGACTATGAAAGTTAAGTCTTGAGTATGATTGATCGATGAGAGGGTGATGTTGTTGTCATTCGATCACTTTGACTCGACCGCACTGCAAGGAGTCGACACTCATGCTTTACTATCCGGTGACGTAGAGCTTGACCCACACGACTGTGTGACATCGGGTAATCGGACCGACCTGACAACATCTCACTTGATCACCTCACTCGGAGTCGAGTCAGAGTATTCAAATACAATATTTTAAGCAAGTTGCAGAGTCCCCTCGTGCTGGATAATCATACCTTTTTTGATTCATCGCTTTTGAGTAGCGCTTCTATGGCTATCAAAGAATTTTTTAGCATTCTAGGAAACCACATACACTCAAATCTCTCTAGCAATCTACCAAAGAGAGCTCTATTTCTAAGAGATCTAATTGATCTAACCTGTGGAATGATACCAAGCTTGATGAGTTTTTCAAAAGGTAAATTATAAGCCAAATAAAAGCACATGGAATACCTGGGGTCCATTCAGACAGAATAAGAGGCTTGTATGTAAACAACAGAAGTCTGTGGTGCCAAACAGGCAACAATTGACCGAACTGGTAGTACCTCAAGGCAAAAGAGAGCATGAGCAAGGTGACCGTGATAGTAGAAGATGAAGCACATCTATGAAAACATTTAAGAGAGGGTGTGATGATGATGAAATTTGACGTGTTTAAACCATGTATAATTTTCACTATGAAATAATACAAGTGAAGGAAGATATCTAACAAAGAGTTGAAGAAGAAAGACACAAAGAAAGAGATAAAGTGAAAGAATAAGAAAGATATTTCATCAATTCTTTCCAGATTTATATTCAGTGATCAGAGACATATCAAAGAAGACTGAATTACAAGATTATTAAACTTCAAAGGACTTCGAGGTGATTTGGATCATGGTGCCCAGGTTTGTGTTGGATCATCTGGAGGATGAATTTGAGACACTGAAAAGGGTGGCCAGCTTCAGATTTCACTCTCATGCTCAACTTCACTTTGCACTCTTATCATTGTGATTGCTCGATCGCTTGGAATTTGACGTGAGCATAATTCAGCAAAAATTGAAACCTGATGAAGTGAAAATATCAGCTTTCAGAAGAACCGGATAATAATCGTGAATTTTTATTTGATGGCTTACCAATGCTAAGACAATCCAGACCAAGTTACCACCAAGTATTTGTTCAGAAACGCTAAGAGCAAATAGTGATGATCCCAATATTGGTCCGACTGCTTGAGCAAAAGATCTACAGGTCTGAGGTTTATGGTTAAAGGATATCAAATTCCGGTCGAACTAAGTTATCGATCTCGAATGGATTTTGTTCTGAATTACAATAGAAAGGAAAATAATTGCAAAGCGAGAGTTTCAAACCTGCATCATTCCATTCAATGTTCCCAATGAGGCAGGGCTGGGCGAGAATAATTTAGTGAGCATCATCAAGCATGCTGAGAGGCCCATATACTCAGCTATATAGATCAATTACTCTTGTCAAAAAGAAAAACAACAAGTGTTGGACAATATGCTCACGATAACACATGATGCCTGGGCTTCTCAAAATCATGATAAAGGCCATATATCCAATTGACATAGAGGAGGTATTGTGCTTGACTAAAACTTGATCATGAGTGGTAGTTTTTGATAAGATACGTTAAAAAGGAGTACTGACGTTGGACTAAATACGTCACCAGGGGAAGACACATAAAAGTGACTGTAAATGTCAGGATTGACCGCCTGAAGATCATCACTGCCCCGTATTTTCTTTGAAGACGTGAGAAAAGGAAAAGCTGAGCCAAGACCACCGCGATACCATTCACACTCAGAATGAAACCTGCAGAGATGATTTATATCGTCAGATATGTAGTGAGCACTTGGGTTCAATCTGGGAAATTCTTTGGAGAGAGAAATCTTTAGAATTCATACCAATCTGCTTCAATGACATTCCCAACCCTCCATCTTTCATGCCTAAAGATATTAATTGGGATTCAGATACTGATCATACAAATAAATCCCAAGTAACAGCTTACCTGTGAATGCGTACAGTGGAATCACAGCTGTCCATGCCACGTTCTGTAAATGCGTCAGTGTAAATGTCAAGAGGAGAATCAAGATCGGTGCTGTGCACAATGACCCTATACTAGGAGGTACAAAGACCTCGGATCGAGAGTCTGGATAAGATGATGATGATGATGACAATGATTCATAACCCTCTGATACTGTTGTTCTTTGTATCGCTGATTTCTTCTTCTGTTTGGATGCTAAGGTCTTTGGATTTTTTTGATGCAAAAATCAAAAATCTATCAACAACAACCGACAGATATCATTCAAAGCGCAATCCGCGTCTTGACGGCTCGACTTACTTCTTTCAAAAAGAATATCCCGAGAAAAATCGCAAAAATGTTCAACATCGCCCCAGCAAAGCATGGCAAGAAATAAGGGTAATTGATGAAAAAGTTCCAATTGCCAAATGTTGATGGGAAATTTTGGGCAGGGAAAGCTAGAAAACCACCGATGAGAGGTCCAATGATTGATCCAGTTGCCTAATGAATGAAAAAAGCTCAATGATACCTTCCTCTCACGAAGATATGCTTTTGAAATCTTACAAAACACAGTGGAAGTAGCGCAACAGCGCTGGAACACATGGAGGGATAGGATGATGAATAATCCTTATCAAGTGGAAATAGCTCAGATTGGATCAAAGTCAGAAAACTTACCTTGCGTGATTTGTCTCGTCCGTCATCTCAGCAACAATGCTCTAGAACAAAGTGAAATTGAAAAATGAGCGACCAAAGGGAACAGTTCCTCAGCTCGATAAGAGACAAACCTGTAAAACCCCAATATTTCCTGTCACAGATAACAAGGCTGAATGAGCGATTTGAAAAAGAGATCACAGCATAAGGATCGACTAGGAATCCACGCACCATTCATCATGCCAGCAACGAAGCGACAGATAATCAATCCCAGATAAGTCGTTTGAAATCCGAAGAAGATTGTGCTGATCGCCATGGCAGAAAGCCCAATCAGCATTATTGGTTTCCTACCCACGTGGTCAGATAGACGGCCCCAAAAGATGGCTGTTTTCATTGAAAGATTCAGGTGTCAGTTACTCTCTCCATGAATAACAAAGAATATGATGAAGTAGCTGGGACTCACCTGTACATAGTTGAGCGACGGCGTAGAGACCTTAGATGACAAACAATCAAGCTTCAATTTTGTCAACGGGGATGAAAGCTGAAGTAGAGTTGGACATGATTGGTTGGACTCACTCTCAACGAAACCAGCGTAATATCCAATTTGTTTAGGGTCATCCGAAATATTCATTTCTACTAACATCTGACTATACATATTTCCAAATTCAAAAAATGCATGAAAGATAAAGTCCAGATAGTAAACCTACTTGATAAACGGAAATATGAGGGTATATGATACCGGTTCTGTTAGCCAATCAGAAGTCAGTCCACTGGCTGGCACATTTAACTATCAAGACCCAATCATGAGTATATATACTTGACCTGTAAGCTGCATGACACAGAGAACAAAAAGTTGTTTGACAGGTAAGGGTGTCCTTGATCGAGTTACGGGAGGTTCCTTTGAAGTGTAAATGATGATAATATCATGATCAACTGGGAGATAGCTAAGCACAAAGACACTTGATACATACCTCTAACAATGATAAGCGTTCGTCGTGTCTTGCAGCAGGGTCCGAATATCTGGCTGCATATACATCTCTGCCAAATGGAGACATAGAGGCCAATGAGGTCTTGGCGATGGCGGAATTTGAGATCGATACGGGTGATGGTGGGGCTTCAACAGTAATGATGCAGCAAAATGTCGAACAACGATCAGACAATGATAATGACCTCCTCAAAGCCCATGTAGAAAAAACTATACTGGCGGAATACTTTTTTGTTGGCTTGAGGTACGGACAAACAGGAAGAATCAAGTCTGTGAGATGATGATAGCAATAAATACTAATGATAACTATGATATCAGGCTATCAATCTGCTACAGATACTCTCCATAACAAAGGCCTTGACCATATTTCTCCGCCGAGTTTGCTTGAGTTTTGCGGGAAAACTTGAACAAGCTTTTGGAGACCAAGATTCAATGTGCAAGAAGGTTGAATATCGACTACCTCGCTTGTACATTCATCTTGTCTTCTTTCTTTTAGAGTGTGTGGCCAACTAAGCCTATCAGACTCCACAACTTCCCCCCTCACAAGTCGTAAACTCACCTGCAAACAACAAAGGCCGTTGCGGTATTCGGGGTTGAGTATATATATCTTGATTGACACCCAATCAAAGGGAACTCGACCTCATTTCAAGGCCCAATTAACTTTTTATCCCAACAAGAGTTTTGTTAATTCAATATTCCCTCGTCAATGTTACATAACGTTTTGGTTGTTTGTGCCGCCGAAAGGTGGACTTAAACAAGTTAGAGAACTGAGGTCCTTTTAAAGCCTGAGACTACCGCAAGACTTGGAGCCTGGTTATGTAAGACTTGTCCGCATCCCCATGAGAAATTTCGGATGGTGCAACATGCTATGTATGAGGTGTTGAGACCCGACCAATTGTTTTGTTCCAAATGAATTTCCTGAAGTCGTCCAACATCACGTTGATACAATGATACCACAGTGAGCATCATGGCCATTTTTTGAGTTCCGATATATATTGCAGTTATTCGATTGGGATAATTTGAACGGCTATGCAGGTTAGTCTTGAGTTGATTGATCGATGATAGGGTGCTGTTGTTTCGTTTGTCCATTCGATTACTCGACTGCAAGGAGACTGAGTTGTCATTTATATATGCGGTACTATCCGTCGCTGTGCAGCACGGCAGTATACCATCGGGTAATCGGACCGACCTCACAACATCTCCCGATCACCATTGACGAACTTTTGCAGAATCTCCTCGTGCTGGACAATCACAAACTTAACAAAGTCCCTCGTTTTTGAGCTGTACTGGCCAGCTCAAACGAGGGACTTACGCGTAAAGTCGAAATTTTGGCGTGAGATCGGCCGGGGCTTTTGCCCAAAATCTAGTCTTCTTATGAAACATTTTTTTACAATTATAAATTTACCTGGCCCAAAATTGAAAGATGTGCGCCCTGGGTGTCTCTATAGCCTCGTACTCTCCGCTTCTAAATATGATGAGTGGTTGTGTAGATATGCATAAACTTCTTTCAGTGGCCAAAGTCGAAAATCGAGTAATTTGGGCTGCTCCGCGTCTAAAAGTTGGGATTTGGGCGTAATTGAAACACCAAGATTCTCATTTATTTTCAGCACAACTCATGTTATTGGGATACTACAAGCGTGAGGTTGTAGCCAAGAGTGAGGCTCGCATTTTTCATTTTTGGGCTCAGGAAACTTATAATTGCAAAAAAAAGTTTTATAAGACAACTAGATTTTGACAAAAAGCCCCGGCCGATCTCACGCCAAAATTTCGACTTTACGCGTAAGTCCCTCGTTTGAGCTGGCCAGTACAGCTCAAAAACGAGGGACTTTGTTAAGTTTGGGACAATCATATCTTTTTTGTTTCATTGTTTTCATGCGGTGCCTCTGAAGCTTCACGGAATTTTAAATCACATTTCAAATGCAGCAGTTCACCGTTTCGTTTTGGATCCATCATCAGACAAGGTATGATTGTCAGTATCTTCGAGATTTTCTTCATCAACCTCTTTGAGGGAATTGGAATAGCAACATGAGAAGATGTTTAAAACATGTATACATCTCCCTATGGAACAATAAGAATGACGTAGGACCATCCAAGGAAACGTGGAAGAAGACACATACACTAAAAAGAGAGAATTCGTTCTCGAATGCAATATTGTGTTTGATCAATAGACAGCTTAAAGTAGAGGAGCAATGGAGATCTTTCGGAAGTTTACCAGATGATGATGTACCCGCCAAGAACAGAAATATATCAAAACATAGTCAATTTCAAGATCCTCAAGCTCCAAAGTTCTTTAAGTTTATTCCAACCATGGTACTCGGTTTTTTTCTGCTAAATCATCTGAGAAGTCTCAGATTTCACTTTCATGCTCAGCTTCAGCTTGCACGTTTATCTTTCGGATTTTTATCTCACTTGGAATTCGACGCGAGCATAATTCAGCAAAAATTGCGACCTGATGAAATGATAAGCTCAATTCTGTTCGAAAAAGTAAATATCAATGGTTAGCTGATCACTTACTAACGCTAAAACAACCCAAACCAGGTGACCACCAAGTATTCGTTCAGAGACGCTAAGAGCAAATAGTGATGATCCTAATATTGGTCCAATTGCTTGAGCAAAAGATCTACAGGTCTAAAGTTTAAGGTCAAAGGACATCAAATTCCGCTTGAACAAATATATTGATATCCAAAGCTATGTGTTCTAGAGTGAATGAGAGATAGAGATAATGGGACAAGTGAAAGGCTTTGAACCTGCATCATTCCATTCAACGTGCCCAATGAGGCAGGACTGGGCGAGAATACTTTGGTGAGCATCATCAAGCATGCTGAGATGTTTATATAGTCAGCTTTGCACATCAATGAATTTTAAAACAAAAGTGCTCACGATAACACATGACGCCTGGACTTCTCAAAATCATAATGAAGGTCATATATCCAATTGACATAGACGGTGTATTGTCTTTGACTAGATATTTGATCGTGAGTGGTAGTGTTTGTATCACTAAAAGTCTTGAATATGATAAGTCAAGATGAAGTACTGACGTTGGACTAAATGAGTCACAAGGGGAAGACACATAAAAGTAATCGTAAATGTCGGGATTGACCGCTTGAAGATCTTCACTGCTCCATATCTTCTTTGAAGTGGTGGGAACAGGAATAGCTGAACCAAGACCAGCGCGACGCCATTCACACTCAGGATGAAACCTGCAAGAAGAAAGTGGATCATGAAATATGTAAGGATTGCCTCAAGTTAGCAATCTTTCTTCAAGATAAACATACTTAGGATGGTTTCTTACCAATTTGCTTCAATGACATCCCTAACCCACCATCTTTCATGTCTAGTAAGATCAATTTGAATTCAGTTTCTGATCATGTGGTCCCAAAAAAACCCCGAGTTAAAACACACCTGTGAATGCATACAATGGAATCACAGCTGTCCATGCCACATTTTGTAAATGTGTCAGAGTGAATGTTAAGAGGAGGATCAGGATTGGGGCTGTGCATACCGACCCTATGCTAGGGGGTACGAAGACGTCGGATTGAGAGTCTTGATCAGATGATGACGACAATGAGTCATAATCCTCTGTTCCTATTGTTGTTCTCATCGCCGATTTTTTCTTCCGTTTGGAAGCTAATGTCTTTGTATTTTTTGAATGCAAAGATCTATCAACAAAGAACGGAACAAATCATCCAAAGCTCAATCTAAGTGGTGACGACTTGACTCACTTCTTCTAAAACAAATATCCCGAGAAGAATCGCAAAAAAGTTCAACATTCCACCAACAAAGCATGGCAAGAAATAAGGGTAATCGTTGAAAAACTTCCAATGGCCAAATGTTGATGGAAAATTTTGGGCCGGGAAAGCTAGAAAACCACCGATAAGAGGTCCAATGATTGATCCAGTTGCCTGAGGAATGAAACAAACCTCAATGGTACTCTCCTCTCACAAGAAATTGTTTTTAGATCTCACAAAGCAAAGCGGAAGTAGAGCAACAGCGCTGGAGCACATGAGGGGATTGAGTGGTAAGTAAGCTCAATCAAATGGGAATATTTCATTTTTGATTTCAGTCAGGAAGCTCACCTCGCGTGATTCGTCTCATCTGTGATCTCAGCAACAATGCTCTAGAACAAAGTAAAATCGAAAAAATGAGCGAAGCAAGGGAACAGTTATAACTCTATAAGAGACAAACCTGTAGAACACCAATATTTCCTATCACCGAGAGTGAATAAGCGAGTTGAAAAAAGGTCACAGTATAAGAATCCACCAGGAATCCACGCACCATTCATCATTCCAGCAATGAAGCGACATATGATCAATCCCAGATAATTCTTCTGAAAGCCAAACAAGATTGTGCTGATCGCCATTGCGAAAAGCCCTGTCAACATGATTGGTTTCCTGCCCACGTGGTCAGATAGACGGCCCCAAAAGATGGCTGTTTTCATTGAAAGATTCAGGTGTCAGTCACTCTCTCCATGAATAACAAAGAATATGATGATGTAGCTGGAACTCGCCTGTGCATAGTTGAGCGACGGCGTAGAGACCTTAGATGTCAAACAATAAAGCTTCAATTTTGTCAACGGGGTCCGGGGATGAAAGTTGAAGTAGAGATGAACATGATTGGTTGGACTCACTCTCAATGAAACCAGCGTAATATCCAACTTGTTTAGGGTCATCGGAAATATTCATTTCTACTAACATCTGACTATAAAGCATTCATCAGCAAAATTCACGAAGAAGGAATTCTAGATAGAAAACCTACTTGATAAATGGAAATATGAGGGTGTATGATACCGGTTCTGTTAGCCAATAAGAAGTCAGTCCACTGGCTACCACGCTCAACCATTAAAACCTAATCAAGAGAATTTATACTTGACCTGTAAGCTGCATTATACAGAGAACAAAAAGTTGTTTGACAGGTAAGGGCGTCCTTGGTCGAGTTACGGAAGGTTCCTTTGTTTAGATGATGATAATATCACGATCAACTTGGTGATAGCTAAGCACAGAGACACTTGATACACACCTCTAACAATGATAAGCGTTCGTCATGGCTTGCTTGGTCCGAATATCCGGATGCATATCTATCTCTAGCGAATGGCGACATAGAGGCCAATGAGGTCTACGCCTTTCTGTTAAAGGCGATGGCCGTATTCGAGGTTGATACGGGTGGTGGGAGGGCTGAAAGAGTAATGATACGGCAACAATGACGAAGGACGAGTAGACAAAAGACCTCTTCAAAACCCAGGGAGAAACAACTATACTGGCGCGATACTTTTGCGTTGGCTTGAGGTGAGGACAAACAGGCTATATGCTCGAGGCCTCAAAGAAGATTATAGTCAGAATGTTAACAGAAACTCGTAGTAACAGATCCTGATGAAATGTATCTGGCTATCGATCTGCTGCAGATATTGTGGATATGAAAAGGCTTGACCGAAATTGCCTGCCAGTCTTCTCCAGTTTTGCGGGAAAACTTGGACAAGCTTCTTGCGATCGAGATTCAACAGTACATATATGATATAGGTTGATTCTAAAGATCGAAGGTCTCGACTAAGTAACTTCCATTATTGTCAATTTTCGTCTTCTTTGTTTTGAAGCGTGTGGCCAACTCACCGGACTTTGTTGATCACCACTCGCTTCTACATCTTGGACTGAGAGTGAGACCTCGATCGCTGCTTTAAAACTCATCCAAGAACTCATACCAGTGCTTCTGCATATCATCCACAATTATTACTCGCAGAACTTGTAATAAAGAAACACGGCTATAGTCTGGAAAATAAAGTCCGTTGTGGCATTCAGCGTTTGGGATACAACTTGATTGACAGAAGTAAAGAACACTACCTCATTTCAAAGCCAAACCAGTTCTATCTGGCCAAGAGCTTCGTTTATCAATCATCATCTGATTCGCCGCATTGACCTTTGATTCTACGTGCCCGGCCCCCTTTGACCAAACATAGACATTGGATTTTGCGGGTGTTTGTGTAGGTAGGAGGAGAGGGACTTGCATCGCATTGGGGATTGAGACTCAACGTGCAGGAGAAACAGGTTACAGGAACAAATCCCAAATGTTGCGCCTCTTTCTTCACTACTCTCATAGAGCACAGCAATGTAACGGAGTAGCTTTCATTATATAAGACTCAGAAGTGATGACTCTGAAACCAACGTAGCTCAGCTGGTATAGCAATTGAATCCTTATTCAACCCTCATAAATATCAATCTTGATAAGAATTCTCAAGAAACTAAGTCTCTTTCAGGAACGAGTAGAGTGATGTTGTAATACACTTCACACAATAAGACACTTTGTATAGCCGTAACTGTCATCTATACTTGTACAAATATCTATCATGTTCCAAGCAAAGCAAAACTATGCATATCCAGACTAGGTTACAAAAAAAGTGAGAAAAAAATCTTTCTAGCTATCACATAACAAGAAAAGAACATTGCAAGAGACAAAGATGCATTGTTCAATACAGTACTTCTAGAAACTAGCCATGTCGGTCAGAAAAGAGACAGTACGAGGAGATTGTATCTCAGGGCCATCATCCTTTTGTAAGAACCTATCCTCAACATATCCCTTATCGTGCGCCTCTGGTATTCCTGGAAAACTGGTTAGGGGGCTCAAACATGAGGTTCGACACCATCTTCTTCAGATATAACCTCTTCCTTTGGTATTTCAATCTCATTGGGAATTCTACGTGAACATAATTGAGCCAGTACTGAAATCTAAAAAATTCTCTCAAAACTCTCATTAGCTATTGCATCAACCTCAAATCAACAAAAATTCTTCTCAATCACTTACTAAGGCTAATACTATCCAAACTAAATTACCACCAAGTATTCCAGTTGAAATACTTATGGCAAATAATGAAGTACCTAGCATAGGACCAATGGCTTGTGCAAAGGCTCGACACGTCTATCAAAAGAACATATGATCAACTCCAAGGCGAACTGCAATCTCATGTCTTGAAGAACTGAAATGTGCAAGAGCTCAAGGATAGAAAAAATCATACCTGCATCATCCCATTCAACGTTCCCAAAGTTGTCGAGCTGGGTGAAAGCATCTTGATGAGCATCATTGAGCACACTAAGACACGAAGATCATCAGCTTCTGCTCGGAAGAGGTTTGGAACACTTGATGTGAATTTCATACTGACCATAACACATGACACCCGGAGTTCTCATGATCATGATGACTGTCATGTACGCCAATGACATAGTGGTAGTGTTGCCTTTGACTGAAGACATAATGCCGTCGTATCAACATCATTTGTAAAGACAACCTCAGAAGGAAAACTGTACTGACTATGGACTAAGTAGGTCACAATGGGTAGACAAAGGTTTGTGATGGTAAAGGTCGGAACCGACCACTTGTAGAGATTAACCGCTCCAAATCGTCTTTGAAGAGGTGGAAAAAGGAAGAGCTGAACAAAGATTAGTCCTACTCCATTCACACTGAGAATGAATCCTATATATAGACACCAATTAATTGATCAGTGATATGATTTTGATGAAGTAGCATACAGAAGAATAGAAGACCTCACCAATCTGGTCAAGCGACATTCCCAGCCCGCCGTTTACCACCTCTGAAGAGATTCAAGACATTCGCGAGTGATGTCAGTTGTGCGAGTTCGGTGCTCATTCAAACAATCGACAAGAGTACATGCTCAACTAAACTTGTGTATGCATAAAGTGGAATCACAGCCACCAAGGCAACATTGTTGATGTGAATCATCGTGAACGTCAGCATCAGAGTCATGATCGGTACGGTACATAATGACCTGATACTATGCGGGGGCGATACGTTTGGCCGAGAGTCAGAATCAGCAGTTGACAAGGCTTCGTAACCTTGTGATGGTGTCGGTCTTTGCGTCCCATTTCGTGGCTTGCGTTTAGTTTCCAGCGTCTTTTACATGAAGCAGAAGAATCAAGATGCCGATTTGAATGCTAATTCTGGATGTAGGAACTCACCTCTTCTAAGCAAAAGATTCCGAGGATGATCGCGAGAAAATTCAACATTCCACCAATGAGACAAGGTAAGAAGTAAGGATATTCGATCAAGAAAGCACAATTTCCAAAAAGAAAAGGAAGATTCTGAGCTGGTAAAGCCAAGAAACCTCCGACAATAGGACCAATGATTGATCCAATTGCCTTCAAGAATGAGCAGATACAAAGACAATGTAAGCAATGGATTTCAACACCCACAGTTATATGTGACATCTGAACAGTAGGGGCTGCATAAATTGGAAGAGGACTTACGAATGACAATGGAAGCAAAGACACCGCACTACCCAAAGGATTGGACGAGTATACCGTCAGCTAAAATCTAATCAAAAATTGCGTGGCTCAGATGGACAGTTTACATACTCAGCATAATTTGTCGGATCTGTAATCTCGGCCACAATGCTCTGTGAAATGAAAAACATGTAAGTTGACAATCACTATCTTTCAAACATAAAAGCCTGGCACCTGTAGAATAGCGATATTTCCTGTTGTGTGTTTGTCATGACCAATGGAATAAGAATGTGTTAGTGAAATAAGAATCAGTGGATTGGAAACCTAGAATCCAACAAGATCAGCCCACCATTCATCATTCCAGCTATGAAGCGAGAGATAATTAATCCGAGGTATGTCTTTTGTAGGCCGAAGGCGATTACACTGATAGCCATCCCAAAAAGTCCGATCAGCATCACCGGCTTCCTTCCGACTCGATCAGACAGTCGACCCCAAAACATAGCTGGAAAATTTTCGTATCAAGACAGAGCTCTGGTCAGGCGGTACTGTGGCAACAAAAGGTGTGAAACAGCAATTTACCTGTACAGAGCTGAGCCACCGCAAAGAGACCTTGATAAATGCGAATAAGACGTATTTCAATAGGCATGAATCGAAAGTCAGGTCTTCAGAGGTAGATGATTCAAATTGCCACTGACTTTCAATCACACCAGCATAGTATCCTATCTGCTTAGGGTCGGGTGATACTTTCATTTCCTCCAACATTTGACTGGATTTTTCGTTTTCACACATGTCGATAAGATCACCAAATTGAGTGATATGAAAAATGAAAAACTGACTTGATGAATGGAAAAATCAAGGTGTATGAAATCGGTTCTGTAAGCATGCTAATGTCAGTGAAGTGCTGCACAAGTCTCTTGACAAGATAGAAAGATACAATAAACTAACCTGTGAGTCGCATGATACATAGTACCAAGAGTTGTTTGACCGGTAAAGGTGTTCGTTGGCGTGAGAGTGTATTCCGAGCAGAGTCCTTCATTTTACAATTCAAAGTTGTGATATTCAGCTTCAGATGAGGGTTGGACTACTTATTCGTAAAACATAATGCATACGTTTCTAGAAGTCGATACCAATGGTGATCGTTCATGTGGGGTAGATGGATTAGGAGTCGGATAGCTTGCAATCGTATTGCTATCTGATCGTGATTTGGTAAATGGCCACATATTGGTATTGGTAACACCAGGGAAGTTAACCTGATATATCGCCTTTACTTTGATTGGTAAGAACGAATGTAAGATGAAGTCGATCGTGAGAAATGCTTTATAGTCTTTGGTCTATTCGAATCTTGAATCGTTCCTTTTTATGTTTGGTTTGTTCCTTTTTTATGTAGTTCGTTGACCTAATTCGTTGATTCGTTTGTTCGTTTATTCTTAGATCGATTTGATGATGATAAAGGTGAAGGTGTACGTAATGAAGTAAACTGAGATATGCTGCTGATTCGGTTGATGATGAATTCTCCCTTTCTTCCTGCCCTGTTCAGTCTTTATAGTGCTGCTCAGACTTCTTCTGCACCTTTCAAGCTTTTTATGAGAAAAGTACAGATGTAATTTTTCGTTTCCTCGATGTTGTCATGCGATCAATTAATATCAGGATTACTAATCTTGCTGCGCTATCCTGATTTGAGACATTCTCGACATCACACATAACACGGTTGGCAATTTCCTCTATACCTAATTTGCACAGTTCTCACGAATTTCTCAACACACTAGCTGCAAAGGAGCTTTGGTTTTCCAGAAAATCATTTTGAATAGAGACTTGTACACAAGTGCTCATTCACTTGCATCAATTTGGAAAGTTATGTCTAGAGCTGTTTCGAGGATAAATGTTACTCCCGTTGTTTTCGATTATTTTCTCCATATCCGCCGTTAATTGATACTTCGCCCTTCCGGGTTATTTATGCTGATTGGGATCAGAAATGGAGCTCATGCTGGCAGTGCTCAGGCGTCTTTTTTCCCCCTTGGAAACTCGATTTTTGTTGTACATGGCAGTTTGCGCTTTGAAAATGTAAAAACTACCTACATACGATTTCTAGAGTAAGCAAGCGCGCAGGCATATAGAGATCCTAATTCGATTCCTATGGTAGAGCAAATATATACGTGTATTCCAGCAAATCATGCCCAGTCTTGCCATTTTCAAAAGCTTTGGTTGAAAGTTACTGCAAAGTTGTTTGAGGAGGGTACATGATGCACCATAGAGGTTATATTATCTTTGGACAGGGTTCCTTCACAAATGAAAGGATCAAGATGATTTGAGGCAAGGTGTTCTATGCCAAAATGTGTTTAGAAGAAAAGAAAACCTATATCAGGGGGTTACATTCTCCGCTTATATAACGGAGTGAGGTATGAGAGTAAATGGTGTCTGGTATATGTTGGATGTTTATTCATACCCCCCCAGCCATTTAGATCACACAGTTCATCATAAATCCCTCTGGTATATGTTGGATGTTTATTCATACCCCCCCAGCCATTTAGATCACACAGTGCTGAAAGCTTGCCTTCTCCACATTATATCTTGCTTGCCAAATAATATGTGAATTTGGGCACTAGTCTTGATCCTTCCACACTTGATGCTTGAATGTGCAGGTACCACACAATCTTGTTTTATTCAATGTGCAGAAATGCAATGAATTTTACCTATTCAAAAGTCTCAGACCTTCAATTGATTCTTCCTGTGTTTCCTCAGGTGAAGAGAGTGTTGGTTGCCTACCAAGATGAAGGCCTTCAAATTCAATGCCGACATAATCAAGGGGCTTTTCCACCCATTTTAAGAGAATGTTTCTTAATTTGTGTGATGATCTAGATAGATTTCCCTTTGGAAAGAATCCCAATTATTTGCATGTGTCTCAAACCTGTATCATTGGATGGATCAAATGAGCCTGAAAAAAGGTCACAAACCTTGTTAACTTAAGCATCATAAGTTCAACAATAAACCTCTCCCATTTTCTATTGATTTCTATCTTTGTTATTGGTTATAGTCCTCATCCTTCAGAAAGATGAAGCAATAAGAACTTATAGGAGTATGAAGCACAAGGAGGTGATAGCTGATAAGATGAATTCCAACAGCTTGATAAACATGTTAGAACAATAAGGATAGGTGACAAAGAACAATCCATCTAAGAAATCATAATACAATATATATAAATTACTTATGCCAATAGGTTATAAATATATTGAGTAAGAGAGATATATATCAGAATACAACATGAAGTCATGAATATGATTATACTTCACACAATTGACATTTGTAACACCCCCCATGCTAATAAGATGGTATAAAATACATTAAGGTGCAATCTATGCCTTATTAGAAAAATCTTTGATAATCCTTTAGTGAACATGTCAGCTGACATTTTTGATGAAGATACATGAACCAGCTTTACCATTCCTTCCTTAACACATTGTCAAACACAATGAAATCAAGTATGATTCTGTCTTTTTCAAGAGTGATGTGACAGATTTTGAGGAATACCTTCAGCACCTTCATTATGCACACATAAATTGAAAAACCTTTCCTCTGATATATGTTCAATTCATACAATAAATATACTAACCACCAAGTTTCCCTACACAAATCACTCATCACCATGTACTCAGATTCAGTACTTGATAGTGAAGTAGTACTTCGCTTTCTTGATTTCTGCAAAATCAGACCATTTCCTAGCCTGGACAATTACCCTGTTTCAGACCTTCCCTCATGTCGACCCTCAGGCCAGTCAGCATCTGAATAAGCCATCAGAATTACAGTTCCACCCAAATTTAACTTTAAATCTTTCAATTTACATAGTTAACCTAACACTTATATTGCCGCATTCCAATGAGTACTTGATGGCTTATTTAAACACTGTGATAACCTATCAACAACAAATGCTATATCTGGCTGCATACACCAAGCCATCCATACAAGACCTCCTATCAAAGTTGAGCATGGATTACTTGTGAGTACATCCTCTTAACTCAAAAGAACCAAGGCTTTGAAGTTTTCATCATTTGGTGAATCATAAAGTTCTTTCTTATTCATGAAACACTTCTCTAAGTTGGAAATATGATGAGTTTGATCCATGGTAAATTTATGATCTACTACTTTTGAAATATTAAAAGGCAGAAAATGAGATAATGGTGTATCTGACAATATTTCAAACCGGCCTTTGATTAAAGAACAAAATCCCTTTATTCAGCTTCAGTACCAGTAGCCACAATAGCATCAACATGCATTGATAACCAACCTTTGATTTTACCACAATCATCCTTCTTGTAGTATAAAGGTGGATCATGTTGTAACCAAATGAAACCAATGGATATTAAAAATCATGCAATTTGATGTTCCATTCTCACAGTGATTATTTTAATCCATTCATCTGTGTCTCAATAATCTTTCTTAAGAACTGAGTCTTATCTTCTCAAGTTTCTTTACTTGACAAGATAAGATTCTGTGTGGGCTAGAGGCCTTCTCAAATCCTGTGGGATTTGGGAAGGCCAGTTTTTAAGGGGTTCAAATTCCTATTAGTTCTTTACACGGTTTTCTTAACCATTCATAGTACTATCAAGGAACCAATCCCCTTAGAAAGACTAGAGCGTGGGGAGCTGGGGTCTCCTCACAGGGGAAACATCTTGTTTCCCTTCTATCATATGTAAGGGAGGGCGGGTTGGTCAAAAAGGATCTTTTTGTTATATAACTAGACTATCAAGTTGATATCCTTAATCAGAATTGCGCACGTTGTAGAACCTATAACCCAACAAGGGTTATACAGAGCTGGAAGAGGATAATCTACTAATAAAGTGACTAGTAGAAGTTGTCTGAGACTGCTCTTCTAAAACAACACAATCAGGAAAAGGCGCTGTTGTATTGATTACTGATAAGGCACCAGAGAAATATAACTTTCACACAGATCTTAACTTCAACAGCACAATTTTTATTACTATCAACACTGCTATAGCGTTATTCCCAGATGATAACTAAAGAAAATAAGCAATATCTTAATGATATTATTCCCAATAACTCTTTTTGACTACAACACTAAAGTAGATTTCTCTTTATAGATATGATAAAGGGTGTATTTAAGTGACCAGGTACTATTAAAATAAGTTTATGATGATAAACAAAATGATAAATGCGTAAATGATAAAGAAAAAAGGGGAACAAAAGTCCCAAAATCATCTCAAAGTATATATCACAATGTACTCCAACTTTTACAATGGTCAACAGCCTCAAAACCAATCAAATCCGCCCAGAAATCCCTAAAAACCCTATAATGATGTAATGTAATGATTTTGTTACTGATAAATGATGTAATTTTCACAGCTAAAAGTGATCAATGACGCAATAATATGATGTAAAGCACTTCTTATGATGAATACAGATGATTTTTTCCTTGTAAACTAGCTGAAAACCAAATTTTGAGATTACAAATGTTTTCAGATGAGGTCCAATTTTTGATTACTAAAGTGAATCTTGTAGCACTCGTGATACTGATCATTTATCACCCCCATATGACCTATTTCTGATGAGTGATGAGTAAGATATTGAGTTGTGAAGCTAAGGTTTTTAGTGTTACATGTTGACTTGTGACTGGAAATTCGAGATTCACACCAATTTCTTATTTGACTTGTAACTTTTTTCATAAACCTCCGCTACTATTGATTTAAAGTCTTTAAATTATGTAATCTACTCTTCTGCGTTGAATGAGCTATCTACCAACCAAATCTGACGTCATTTGAAATATGTAATTAGCTGAAAACCTTCATTTGAGATGAAATTCACCCATTTTCTTCATTTTTCACAGCTGCTACTCTCTTTTTCTTGCTTGTGTAATATGACGTTGTAGAACTCCTACGCAGTGTAGCGTAGGCTGAGCCGGAGAAGGTAAGAATCACCGTCAAGAAGAACGGATGAAACTAAGATGCCGAGAGGCTGCCTTCAACCTGAAAAGAATTCTACGAAAAATTACGTGAGGCGAATTTTTACAACCCCGCCGTTACAAGTTTTACCGTAAACCTAATTCACCCCGTACAAGTATTTTCAAACTTCCAAACCCTATTTATCCTCCCACAACTGAGCCACACACACAAAGTTAAAAAAAAACAATTGTTAAAAAAAACACAACCTGAACTGGATTTGAACCCAGGTTCAGTCCTTTCCTTTTGGCCCTGACTTGGCCCTGTGCTCG